CTCCACTCACATAAACAAAAGAGAAACAAATAATTATCAATAAACAAATAAATAAATAAATTTCACAATTTAATTTTTATAACAAAATAAATTTTGAATTTTATCAATTTAGTCCTTATTTTTTTGGTTTATTTTCAAAACTATTTTTCTATTTTTGTTAACTAAAAAAATTAAAAAATAATATCATATATATATTATTAAAAGTAGTGTTTTTTCAATACTTACGTGGCATATTATAAGGATTTATTTTTTTCTAAGAGAATCACATCAGCATATACTTTCTTAATTACATATAGAGTTCTATACAAACTCAAACTTCATTTAAATTATACTAACTTTGCGTATTTTATAGGGACTCTGTTTGACAAATATTTCTTTTCCATATATTTTTCGTGGTAAATTGAGATAATCCACAAGCCCAATATTAATTTTGCGTTTCATGTTTTTCTTCTTAATTCTTAGGGCTTTTGTAAATGCTAAATTGCCCTTTTTTTTCTTCTTATTTTTCCGCGCATTATTCTATACCCAATACTAATTTTATATTATTTTATATTATGGATTTATCGTTTAAATTTTATAATGATTCTATATATGAAATTATACTTCATTTTCTATATTATTTTATATAATCACAACTCCTATTACAATCAATTCACACACTAAGATGTATCTATCGTTTGAATGTTTTTATTATTTTTCTTTTTGGGTTTAAATGTTATTATGTGACACTTTCTTAGTTAGTCGTCATTAAATTTCTTTTATATAATTGATATTTTAATTTATTTTACAATTTTATAATTTAATATATATATATCATATAAAATCATTATACATTTAATTATTTTAATAAATTTTGTATAATTTCTGTTTCTACATATTTTTATTTTCCAAATGAATATAAAAGAAAATTAAATAGTTAGAATTACTTTTAATCTTATGTTACTAAGTCTTCTTCTAATTTAACTATTATTTTTAATATCAAAATGAATATTTATTTTTACTATTTTATAATTTAATATATATCATACAAAATTATTATATGATAATTACACTTTTATAATACAATAGAACTAAAATTATCAAAATATACAAATAATTTAACTAAAATTAATATATATATATAAGTATTCAAGTAACAATTTTATAGAACGATAGTGCTAATATTATCAAAATAAATAATTAAAATTATACTTTAATTTTAGTTTTAAATTGAATTTTAAGTTAAAATTAAATAACACATATTGTACTATTAAATATTTTTTTTTAAAAACGCATATGCATTGCACGGGTCAATTGTCAACTGCTAGTTTTAATCATTAAACTCAACGTAGTTATATATAAAATATTTAAAATATTTATTTTCATTCAGTTTAATGACTAAAATATCTAATTTCATCGATTTTACTTAACGAAAATAAGCCAATGATTTAGTTTAAAAATAAATCAAAAGTTTAGAATTTAAATTGACAAAATAACAAGCTAAAAATTTATTTTGTTATAAAGGTCAAACTATGGACTGTTTTTTTTAATTTTTCCAAAAAGAAATAACAATTCTATAAGCGTACAAAAAAATAAAGAAAATATCAAATTAGTGGAATTTTTAAAAAAAAATTACAAATCAATGAGAAATTTTATAAATATTAATAATTGAAATTTTAAAATTTTTCATGAATATGTAATTATTTTTTCATAACCTGACTAGGATGGAATTACTCCAAAAAAAGATCTAAAAATTACTCATAATTTAAATTGTGTTGACAAAATTCATTGTCAATAAGGTCTATAACACATGAAATTCAATCTCCACCCTCCATCTCTTTCTAGATAAATTCATGAATTTTTTTCTTAGATATTGTTTGAAAAGTGGCTAAATTAGCGAAAAAAATTAAAAATTAACCTATTCTCTATATTTGTTTATACTTTTCGTAAAAATTTCTAAAACTTAATAAAAAATTCAATTTGCAAACGAGCCTTCAATGTGTATCTTTTGTCAAAAGAAAATTATTGGGTGTGAATTCCACTATTCACAATAACAATTCCCCATCCAGTCTCCCAATCACCAATATAAATAGCCCAAGGTTTGAGTAAATATTGAAAATAATTATGAAATTAAGTGAAATTATTAACTAATAAAAATTTTTATACTATAATGATAGTTACTGCATTATTTTGTTAGTTAAAATTAACCAACATCCACCTAATCATATATATTATTTTAATCAATTACAACAATATTTATTATGAAATAAAATGTATGATGCAAATTAAAAGTTAATGAAATGTAAATCATACTTAAAGTGATTGCAATTTAAATATATATATATATATTTGAATATATTTATTTTATCAGCGAACAAAATTTCATTGATTGTAAGAAGGTAGACATTACAAAATATCAAATAAATCAACAAAAGAAAAAGAGCAGGTGCGAAAAAAGTATCAAACCAAGTGAAATACCCCATCCCAATTGAAGGGGTTCCAACCCAAACCATAGTAGCCCCGACACAGTGCAAATCTAACATCAAAGCTACAAGCCGAGATCTCATCCACAGCACCAAGAAAGAAATCATAAAGTTATATTTGGCCGAGAGATTTAGAAAAAAAAATTAAAGAGAAAAATAGAAACGATAGGTGAAATGTGAATAAAATATATTTATATTTTATGTAGTTTTATTTTTTTCTTTCTCTTTTCAAATTCATTCATAAATTTCTCAACTAAACACAACGTTGGATTTGGGGTGGCTGATATGCGGTGTACACAGCAGCCACTGTTGTGCAACCAAATGAACCCAGTTCGGAGCTCATTTTGATAATTCGAGCCGTTCACATTTTAGAATACATCAAGTAGAACATACCTGCAAAAAATCAAGTTAATCGGATATCGTTTACTCTTTCATTCACTCACATTTGTATTTATTTTAATACTTTAAATCACAATCGTTATTTATTTTTATAGATACAAATATGAGTGGATGAATGGATAAACGATATCCGATTAATTTGATTTTTTACAGATATGTTCTACTTGATATATTTTAAAATATGAACGATTTGAATTATCAAAATAAATTTCGAAATAAGCTTATTTAACTACACAACAATAATTGCTGTGTATCTGCATAATAACCATCCCAAATCCCGCAACGTAAAAGAATGTGTTACAAAGTCCCCAGTCTAATTTGGTGCAGATGAAAAATCAAGTCAATTACAGAATACTCCTTGATATTTGTTCTGGCCTTGACCCAAAATGCCACTCTCATCTTGATGTGATCAAGGATGGAATCCCAATTGGGTTGAACATTCTGAAAAATAAGTTAAATTCTAGCCGTCTGGATTGACCACAAAGTTACAAACGGTACTGCATCCCAAATGGCTTTTTCTTTTTTTCTGCTATCAGTTAGACTAAAGATTCCAAATAAATTATTAAATTCTTTACCAAATATTTTATATATATTGTAAGATTCACACAAATCATATATGTGTGAGTTCCACGTCTATATAAAAAGTTTGATAGAAAATTTAATAATTTATTTAGGGTCTATAACATTTTCCTTCTACTATTGTTGATAGATGATTTCTAGCCATCTAGATTGACCACGGAGTTGCAAATTCATAAAATTGAGTCAAATTTTTTAAAAAGTAAATTATTTGTTTCCGTATTTTTTGTTTTTAGTGAAAAAATTTAATATTAAATATTTTAATTTTAATTTTAATTTTAAATGTACTTCATCTAGATATACTTAAAAATTATAATATTTAAGGAAAAATCTTTAAAAAATTATCAAATAAAAAATATATATATTATAAAATATAAAAAATTAATATATTTTCGTATTCTTATATATTTATTGAATTTTTAAAATATTTTTTCACAAAAATTTTGTTTTTCAGGTGCATCTAAGCTATGCGTATTTAGAAAGTAAAAAATTTACTTAAAATATTAAAAAAAACACTCAAAATTAAAAAAACACCTAAAAATAAAAATTTAAATTTAAAAAAAAAAATCAGTCAAAACTAAACAAGATGATTGCATCTCAAATGGCTATTTCTTTCTTTGTAGAATTGTTGATATTTTCTCAATGATTGTGATCCTCTATCAAACAAAAAACTTCCGGGAGGTTCCCGACACTTAGGCCTCGTTTGGCAAAAGGCTATTTTAGTCAATTAGTCAAAAAGTTACTAAATTAGCCAAAAAGTCAACAACCCACACCAAAAAGTCAAAGATTCTCTTTTCTCTCTACTTTTTGCACATCTTTTCGTAATTAGCCAAAAAGTCATCCCGATTGCATCTCAAGTGGCTATTTCTTTCTTTCTAGAATTATTGATATTTTCTCAATGATTGTGATCCTCTATTAAAAAGAAAACTTCCGGGAGGTTCACGACGCTTACCCAGAAGAAAAAAACGTATGACTGAGATTTCACTGTGTATTATAAATTATATTTATAAAATTAATTTAAATCATAAATTGATGATTCTGAATAAAATTTTGAATATATAATGGTGGGTATATAATATAATTCTTATGAAAATTTATTGGATATATAAAAAATTATATTTTTGAATGATTCTGATCCGTTATTTTGTCTTAGGAGGCTTACGTTTGCACTTAGCTCACTAGTCCTAAACAGGGCCCTGTCTGCATTCTCAATTTTAAAATAGGAAGTCAACAAAAACAAAATTCATTGTAGAACAATTCTTTACCCTATGAATAGAAACGAACCAATTCATATCCCATACAATACAACAAAACTACATAACACAACACAACAGAACACAAAATCAAATTTCTCAGCATTTCTATACCATGAATCAAGCACCCCATGTCGCTCTTCTCAATCTCTTATCTCCATCATCTCCTTTGTTGTTGTGTTCCTAAGTTGAGATTATTAAAGAATCTAAGCCTCTCATTATATTCTAGAGAATTCGAAGTTATTCTTCAAGGATCTTCGAAGATCTTCGAATTTTTCAACTCCTTTCTTGAACCCTCTCCTACACGAACCAATTCATATCCCATACAATACAACAAAACTACATAACATAACACAACACAACACAAAATCAAATTTCTCAGCATTTCTATACCATGAATCAAACACCCCATGTCGCTCTTCTACCAAGTCCAGGTATGGGCCATCTCATTCCTTTCATTGAACTCGCCAAGCAACTCGTCCTCCACCACCACTTCTCTGTCACCATTCTCATCCCCTCCGCCGCACCACCCACCCAAGCCCAAAAAACAGTCCTCCAAACCCTCCCCAAAACCATCCACCACATCTTCCTCCCACCCGTTCACTTACCCAATGACAACCTCGATGCTGCTTTCCAAATCTTCCTCACAGTCACTCTATCTCTTTCCTCTCTTAGACAAACATTAGCTTCATTATCAACCACTACCCGTTTGGTTTCTCTCATCGTCGATCCATTCGGCATCGATGCCATCGATGTAGCTAAGGAATTCGGCGTTTCGCCCTACTTGTTCTTCCCGTCACCAGTCATGGCACTGCTATTTTGCCTACATTTGCCGAAGCTAGATGAGACGTTTACGGGAGATTACAAAGACCTACCTGAACCGGTACAATTCCCGGGTTGTGTACCAGTTCAAGGTAGAGATCTCCCAGACCTAGTTGAAGACCGGTCAAGCAACTCCTACAAGGTATTCCTTGGGAGTTTTAAGCGATTTGGTTTAGCTGAGGGCATAATTGTAAATAGCTTCGTGGATATGGAAGAGGGGGCCATAAAAGCGTTGCTGGTGGAAGAGCTGGGCAGACCAGCAGTTTATCCAGTCGGACCGCTTATCCGAACAGGTTCAAGTGATGGATTAGAACAGTCCGAGTGTTTGAAATGGTTAAATGATCAGCCAAGCGGGTCAGTAGTGTTTGTATCATTCGGAAGTGGTGGGACTCTCTCTCATGACCAACTCAATGAGTTAGCATTGGGTTTGGAATTGAGTGGCCAAAGATTTTTGTGGGTTGTGAGAAACCCTAGTGACAATTCTAGTGCTGCATTTTTCAATGCACATAACCAAAACGACCCTATTAGCTTCTTGCCAAAAGGGTTCTTGGAGAGGACACAAGGTCGAGGCCTAGTGGTGCCATCGTGGGCACCGCAAATTGAGGTGCTGAGCCACCACGCCACCGGTGGATTTTTGACCCACTGTGGATGGAACTCGACTTTGGAGAGTACTGTCCATGGTGTGCCTCTAATCGCTTGGCCACTCTTCGCAGAGCAGAAGATGAACGCAGTGATGTTAACGGAGGGTCTGAAGGTGGCGTTGAGTCCAAAAAGTCATGAATTGGGATTGGTGGGACGGGAAGAGATTGCAGAAGTTGTGAAAAGTCTTATGAAAGGAGAAGAAGGGAAGAAGGTTCGCCAGAGAATGGAGGGACTCAAGGATGCTGCTGCGAAGGTCTTGAGTGAAGAAGGGTCTTCTACAAAATCACTATCTGATTTGGCTTTCAAGTGGAAAAATCAAAACAACATTTGAAGTCAAATCATTTATCTTATTTATTTAATTTTTTTAAGTTTAGTTAATTTCATTTTGTTTGTTTTGTTTGTTTCTTTTTTGTTTCTTTTTTTTAAATTTTTTATTTACATATCACTGAATAAAACCTGAATTTCTAGTTGTTGGATCCAAGTTATACAAGTTTCCTTTGGAAAAACAATATGTATCATAAAAAAAGTTTATCATGTTGTGTGGGCCATATTAGAAGGAATTAGGGGTTGGCTTTCCTCTGATTTGGATTAGAGGTTGTTATTCAGATTTGAAGGATCTATTATGATTTTATTTTAATGATTTAAATAGTTTATTTGTCAACTATTTTGTGTATATTAATTACAAAATACATATAAATTGTTGCATTTAACTTATTATACTTGTCTCTAAAAAATTGGACAAGCTTGTTGTTAAAAATAAATTATTTATTTTCTTAGAAATAAATGTAATGAATTAAATAAATTATGATTTTCTGATTTACTTAAATTTTATGTATGTATTATATATATATAAAGAATCTGACAAAAAAATAATAATTTAAATCATCAAAATGAGACTCATAATAGACATTACGGACTCAAAAACTTTTTAATGAGTTTTGTGATAGCACACATTCTATTTTCTTGAGTCTTTTCTTTCAGGCTATGTAATTTATAAAATTATACCTGTTTAAATATTCTTGACTGCAACCATACCTATTTAAATGTTCATTTTTTTAACAGAAGCCACAAAGTTTGATCCTAACTTGGGCTCTGTTGTGTCCGTGCTGCAACAGGGCCAGCCACATGATAGGCGAGTAAGGCGATCTTAGGCCTCGAATTTTGTCTAGAAATTAAAATCTTACATAATTTTAGTTTTTATAACAATCATTATATTATAATGCCTATTTTTACGTTAATCAATTATTAAGTCAAATTGCATTTAACTTATTATATACTCATCTCTAAAAAATTGGACAAGTTTGTTGTTAAAAATAAATTATTTATTTTTTTAGTAACAAATGTGATGAATTAAATAAATTATGATTTTCTGATTTACTTAAATTTTATGTATGTATTATATATATATAAAGAATCTGACAAAAAAATAATAATTTAAATCATCAAAATGAGACTCATAATAGACATTACGGACTCAAAAACTTTTTAATGAGTTTTGTGATAGCACACATTCTATTTTCTTGAGTCTTTTCTTTCAGGCTATGTAATTTATAAAATTATACCTGTTTAAATATTCTTGACTGCAACCATACCTATTTAAATGTTCATTTTTTTAACAGAAGCCACAAAGTTTGATCCTAACTTGGGCTCTGTTGTGTCCCTGCTGCAACAGGGCCAGCCACATGATAGGCGAGTAAGGCGATCTTAGGCCTCGAATTTGTCTAGAAATTAAAATCTTACATAATTTTAGTTTTTATAACAATCATTATATTATAATGTCTATTTTTACGTTAATCAATTATTAAGTCAAATTAACAAAGTATATAATGAAATAATAAATTTTTTTTAAACAAAACAAACCTATTATAATCTTTATGAAGTTAAATTTTTTTCTTTCTTTTTACTATTTCACTTCCCTAATTTCTCATTGAATATTGTTTTTCAAGACAAAAAAATATATCTATTTTCTAGACCAAATGATATTACATTCTATTAAATATTTAAGTCAACTCTCACTCTTCATTTATTCTCTAATTATCAATCAATTATCTTATATATATATCATTGGATTAGAAAATAGGTCTATAAAATGAATTTATATATAATTTTCCTTTCCTATTTTCTTTTTTGGTTAACGAGTAAACATCCTAAGCCTGTTTTCTGCCGACTTCAGAATCAACTACCTAATGTTGGTTAATAGGAGTAGCACGAGGGGCAAACCTCTGGCGTATGCATCGATTCCACAACGCACACACCATTTTAGTTAGAGAGTGTAGCTGTCGGGATTCGACCTCATACCCAAGCCCTGGATACAGGTCGTCTAACACTTAGAGGGCCGTTCTACAACCACTGCACCAAACTCCTGGGAGTTAGCCCTAGAATGTGTGGAACGTGAGACCTCAAGGCATATGCACCAAGACCTTAGCAAAATGCCCCGAGGCCCTTACTAAATTAGTAACACCAATTTGCCAACTATTGCAGTGCCATTTGTCAATATTGATCAACACCACCATAATTATTGTTTATAAGCATTGAGCATCATTGGGGCATGCTGAAGAATATCGTGGTATGGTGGTGTAGAGAGAGGAATTTGATAGTGGGTCAATGAAAGTGAGAGTAATATAATAATTTCATTTTGGAATTAGAGAGTATTTGAATAATTTTAATTTTATCCGTTAGGTTAGTTGTAGGAATGTTTTTGATAATAGAGTAATTGTAATTGTAAAACATGAGATAAAAATTTATAATTTTAATAAATTTCAGAAATATATTTGTAATTTACATTTATAATTAACTAACTCAGTAAAAAGTGAAACAATTTTTTTAACAAATCAATCAAATCCGTAAAATGAGATTTGAGGTCTCTTCTGATAATCTTTTTTAACAAAGTGAATCGTCTTGAGATCATGAAACATGGCCAAAGACTGTCCGTTTTTGCAAGCTGAGTCTTAATAAAGTGAGATCGTTGAAACTTGGCTGAAGATGATTAATTGATTGAAACAAAAAAAATAATACAGTAGCTTAACTATAAAAAAAAAAAACAAAAAAAACAAAAAAAACAAAGGATTAGAAAATTTGAATAAATATCGAGGATGATAATGATAGGATATTATTAAGTGTAAATTACATTGACCTCCGTTGAAGTTTAGACTAAATATAATAAATTTTATAATTTCAACATAATTATATCACTACTAGAAAGATGACTTTTTGCTACCATATAACTTGCGACCCCCGATCATCCGTCGCAAATAACTAACATATTCCTTATTTTCTTCTATTTATTTTTCCCTTTTCCTTATATTTGCCCTAGCCCTTCACAATGATCGTTCTCTTTCTTGCGCGAGCTCTCTTTCAGTCTCTCTCTCAGTCTCACACATTGGTATGAATCACTCTCTCTTCTTTCGATCTCACTCGTTCTGTGTCACTCAATCTTTTCTCTCTCTCATTGATGTTCTTCTCAATCTTGTGCTCTCTCTGTTTCTTATATTCTAAAAACACAATCAGCTTTTCCTGATTCTTTTGAATTCGATCATTGAAGGTACGCGCTCTCTCTCGCTCTCTCTCTCAAGTTTCTTTCTCTTCTTCTTCTTGATTTCTGATTTGAATCTGCACCTAGGGTTTCGATCGAGTTCAAGGTACTCTCTCTCGGAAGTTCTCTCTGTTTCTATTTTCCTTTGTCTCTTGTCATTTTACAATTTGAATCTGCTCCTAGGGTTTGGATCGACGGATGACCCTTGCAATATTCAAATTTTATGATTTCTATTATTCGATGAATGAAATTCAATTTTATTTTTTCATTTCGATTTTTTTTGTTGCTTCTTAAGCCTGAAAATTCAGTATGTTTTTATTTGTCTTATTATATTTCTCCATTTTGCCTCTGTTTATCTACTCAGATATTGTCAGAAACTAAAATTGAAAAAATTGAGTTTTATTCTTTAGCTCTGTTTTTAATCCTTTAGAATGAAAATTAAGATTAGAGTTTTTATGTTGTACATGTTTCAGATGATATTTATAGTTTTTGCCTTTGTTTTGTTTGTGAGAAAATGCCGGAAAAGAAAAAATATGCAGTAAAGTTGTTGACAAATTCTCATGAGATACAAAAGTTTTTGAATTTGTAGGGCCTTTATATGGTGATTATTGGTTTAGATAAAGTATATGATAGGTTTCCTATATAGCATTATGAGCTGTTAGATAGATATAATGTGGATAGTTTTGGAAAATAAAGGAGCATTAGTTAGATATGTTGATGTAATTTTATAAATATATATATATATATATATGTGTGTGTATTTGAGTTGTAACTATTGTTTAACAGAGGAGAAACATGTGAATTTCTAACAGTAATAGGTTTACATAAAAAAAATCAATGCCAAGTCCTTATCTTTTTGCGTTAGTTACAAATGAATTGGTGCTATGTTCATCAATGCAATTGAGTACATTGTGTACTATCACAAATTGATGGCATAATGCACTGTGGTAATTGATCTAACACTTTTGAGTTGAATGTGGTGCTTAAGAGTCCATGTTCGACGTTTGAAACCTAGATAGAAGGCCTTTTCTTATTAATTTAACCAGGAAAGTAATTCAATTTACTTCATGGCAAGTAACCAAAACAAGTAATAATAATCCCAACTGCTTAACCAATTTATAAATGAGGCGGTCACAATATTTGACAATGGAATGGTTGATCAAATGAGTAAATCTGATTATTTTGGTTGCTTGCTTAATTGTCTGTGCTATTTTCATTATTGTTTCTCTCTTTAATATTTACCTTTGTAATTGTTTGGAGCAGGTGATTTATTGTCTGGAAGGAGCACAAATTGGCATACTATATGAGACATCTTTTGCAGGTGATTGTTTACAGGTATTGGTAATTTCTTTGCTATATTCCCTTGTCCACTAATTGTTGCAGTTGTTTTGTTCACAGGTATTGGTAATTTCTTTGCTATATTTTTGTTTCCGATACTTATGTATTATTTTCAGTTCAGTGCGACTGGAGCAGCCATTCCCACTGTTATCTCTCAATATGTATTTTTTTATATTTATTCTATTTTAAAATTTTCTTCTGCTTCACTGAAGGATGATGGTGCTAGATTTTCTTTGTTTCAGAGATATTGTTACCTTTTTAATGATTTGTCATCTTAATAAGAGGGTTGTCTTATTGCCTCCAAAGTTGAGAGATCTGCAATTTGGAGGTCATATAAAATCTGGTGAGTGTTTTATTTTATTTTTAAGATAATGCTAGTGTGACTAAAATCTATTGGCATGCATATGAAATACGATTTATGCTGTGTCATTTTATTGTAGTTTTGTTCTGTGAGTGCGGAATTTTGATATCAATATAACATTGGATTAGGACCATAAATCCTGCTTAAGTCTAATTAGTTATAGCAGTTCATCCTCCAGTAGAACACTGGGACACTATTTTGTTGTTCTTGTGACTATGACACTAGGGACATCAATGGCTACTCATCAAGGAACAGAAGCTATGGCTGCTCGTCAAATATGCTTACAAGTATGGTTGGGTTGTATCTCTCCTTATGGATGCACTGGCAGCATCTGGTCAAGTACAGAATTCTGTTTGTAAAGAAATTTTGTTAAATTGTTATGCGCTCTCTCAATACATATCTATAATCGTTGGACTATCATGTTCCCATTAAAATTCATATTATCTGAGTTGGGATGGAACTTTACTTGATGCTGATTCCACTTAATACTGTCAGAACATGATCTGTGGTTTTTATATTTTATTTGTCATATTATCTGTGATGTTCATGTGATTTTGATATTATCTATCATTTTTTTACTGTCCCATTTAAAGATATTCCTGTCACCTAGTTTTACTTGCCATAAATTTTGGAATTATACAAAATGCTTAGTCTCATCATTTACAGAATTCTAGTTCCTTGAGTAGTTTCCATACTGTGGTTGTGTCATTCACTTAGCTGAATGAGTTCAAACCTTCATGTTACAACTTTTCAATTAAAAATAAAATCAAAACTTTGAAAGTTTATAGCTTTATGATTGCAGTTAAATCATTGCTAGCATATTGGGTCTCGGAGACATTAGAATTATGAAACATTCCAACTTTAATCGTATGTTTAATGATGGATGCTAATTAGTTTCTCTCCAATTTTTTCTCCATCTTGCAGGTTGTAAACTTAATATGGTCAAGGAAGATGGATTGGGTTTCTAAAAGTTGAGTGGAACAGAGCTATTATATCAAGATGTAAGTGGTTCCTATTTAGCAATAATCAAGAAAAGTCTATTTCTAGGAAGTTATGTTTTTTTAATATATATTTGATGCAGTAGAGTCATAGTGGGTTAAAACATGAGCTGTTATAACTAAGCAATAGTGGGATTACTAGTACCACTAGTAGGGAATTTGCACAGTTCAAGTACTTGTACTCTGATAGGTTTAGGGAGGGAGGGCTTGAATGGCAAGGCTTGAACCCTCTTAGTGGTCGTGACATGACTTGAGAAGTTCTATCTGCCCCTAGCTTTGTGGGTGGGTTTGAATCACAATAATAATTCTCTCCATGAAAAGTTAGGATTTCACTCTTTGAAGAATGGCTCTGTCTCTCTGAATTTATATTGTGTTTAACTACATAGCATTTTATAGTATGAAGGCACTTAGTTAAGTTTGATATATGTGTTTGCAGATTTTGTTGAGGGAATAGTTGGTATGATCAAGCAGGTGATGTTGGGAGCCAAAGATTATGTTGCTTTTTTTTTTTTTTCTTTTTTTGAGACTTGAATTTTTTAGTACAGTGTATTTAAGGATGGTTAATGGATAATGTCTATTATAAATTTAATTAAATTGTTAATTTTGTTATTTTCATTAACAAAAAATTGTTTGGTGCTTATAATTGATTTTTTTGTTATAGCAAACCCATATATGATTTTTTTAAAAGAAATAATTATTTGCGACAGTAAAACAATGGTCGCTAAAAGTGTTTTTTATTTTATTTTATTTTTTTTGCGACGGCAAAATAGCTGTCGCAAAAAGTAGTTTAGGTGGTCGCAAATAATTTGCGACCGCTGTTTTGCCGTCGCAAAAAGTATTTGCCACCCCCACATTTGCGTCCCCCATCTGCGGTCGCATAGGCCGTCGCAAAAAGTTTTTTGCGACTGTATTTTTATTATTTGCGACGGCTTGTGGCGGTCGCAAAAAGTGTCCAACTCAAATGATTTCCAAAAGAGTTGCCATGAGGAGGCTGCTATTTGGCATGTCGAAAGCCATGACCGCTCCTTGAATTGACGGGTCCTAGCTATATAGTGCCCTCGCAATGCCATTCATATTCGAATGTTGAGGTAGCTGTGCAACCGTGGCAGAGTGGTCTGATGAGGGAGGCGATCCTTTATCGTCTGGTGAAGGAGATTTAGTGTCTGTGACATTAGACGTGGTGATGTCATGGATGCTAGTCCTCCTCTTATCCTTCTCACCAGAAAGCTTCCTGATAAAGTACTTCTGAGCATGACTCATAACAAGCTTCAAAAGAAAATGAATAGGTATGCCACTCTGCTCTTCAAAAGGAAATTATTAACACATTATGTTAACCTATTTCTCTGCTTTTGATGAATTTTTCAGCTTATTATGAATTAAGTTGCCTATTTCTCTGAGAGTCGTTGTTATGGAAATAGCATTTTAAATCAATTCTTTTTGGGTGTATGTATGGCATCAACATTGTTCAGTAGTTTTTTGTTGGAGAGAGTAGCATTCAAGATTGTGTATGGTTCCGAGACCCGTCTTTAGTTTTTTTTTTTTTATCCGCATGAATTGTGTAGTTCATATATGACATGGTTAATGCTGCTCTTTTATTGCTATAAATCAGCATCTTCTTGTTTTCTTTAATCTGCTTGTAAAAATCAATTCTTTTTGGGTGTATGTATGGCATCAACATTGTTCAGTAGTTTTTTGTTGGAGAGAGTAGCATTCAAGATTGTGTATGGTTTCGAGACCCGTCTTTAGTTTTTTTTTTTTTTATCCGTATGAATTGTGTAGTTCATATATGACATGGTTAATGCTGCTCTTTTATTGCTATAAATCAGCATCTGCTTGTTTTCTTTAAGCTGCTTGTAAAGAGACAAAAACAGGGGTCAATGATTACCGCCAAATAATGCTATATCATATAGCTAATAGGATTAGTGGACTCAGCAATAGGTTTGAAAAATGTTCTAGAATGAAGATGAAATCTATTTATTGTCTCTATTTTGCTCATAACCAAAATGGGGCAGTACTCCTAAAAGGGCTACTTGCACACCCTGGAAATTTTGAAAGTACTCCAAAATAGAGCACAAAATGGGGCAGTATACTCTACACCACAGACCAGTAGCCATACACCAATTGGAAATTATGGAAGGAAGCTATCCTTGATAACCTCGTAGTAGGGAAATCTGGTGACTATAGTGAAGCAAATTACCTCTTTGACCACTCTAGATTGGTTTCTCAAAGTGCTCAAAATCAGAAGCTTCCTTTTTTTCTCAGACATTAGAAGGGCTTACTAATTTTCTTTCATTAATATTACAACTTATTGGATGGATGGCTTGGTCCTCTTTTCGTTCATTTTGGTAATAATGCTTTCCCTTTTGGCTTCTTTACAGTTTTCTCTCTTACTTCCAGGCGAGAAAGAATTTGTCTAGGAAAGTTGCACACCTTTGTCATCTTCTTCAGGCTCCATTGAGGGTTCTTTCACATTTGTCTCTGGAAGGTATGTAGACAATTCACTATTTGTATAAATTTCTATTTTTTTAAAACCAACGAACTCTGAAGCACTCAATGATGATATCTGCTCTCTTATTTCTTATCTGGATGAGTTTACGTAGATAATTTGGCATTTCCTTTGTTCTTTATTTTAGCAGTGTATAGCGATGGAGTGTGGATCGCCTTTTAGGATTTTGTTCATCAAGTAGGTTAGGCAGTCGCAAATAGTTTGCGACTGTTATTTTGCGGTCGCAAAAAGTATTTGCCACCCCCACATTTGCGACCCTCATTTGCCGTCGCATGGGCCGTCGCAAAAAGTCTTTTGCGACTGTTTTTTTATTATTTGCGACGGCTTATAGCGGTCGCAAAAAGTACTTTTTTTAGTAGTATATAGACTTCTCTTTTAGTAAAATTAAATGGACCGAAATTAATATAAATTGTGAAAAATACAAAAATAGCAAAGTGCTAACTGTTATATATATATATGAATTAAAATCTCAATAGAAGTTAATATAATTATATTAAAATATTAAAGTTTATATTATGTTTTTCAAATCTCGAGGAGTTTATTATAATTTACTCGATTATTAACTAATAAAAAAAATTAACGTTATTGTGATGGTAGTAAACTATATTATTTATAGGTGAAAAATAATGGAAGTCCACATAATCATATTTTATTAATCGGTTCAATATTTAATCCCAAATTCCTGGCATTACGTTTGCACTTACCTCACTACTCCCAAAAGTCCCCTTCTAGACCTCTTTACCTGCAGTATCAATTTTAAAAGGGAAAATAACAATCAAAGTTACAAGACTAAGGCCAAGTTTGAGAACACTATATAAGTGTATTTTTTGACTTTTTATGAAATATGAGTTGTGTTTGGGTTGAGTTTGAAGTGATATGTTAGAGAGGTGTTGTGACTTAAATAAGATGATGTGATTTAAATAAGATAGTGACTTTTTGACTTTTTAGATTTTTTAAGAGTTGCCAAACTTGGCCTAAATTTTATTTTTGTAAAATATGAAATACCACTTGTATGATGAGGTGTGACTCAAAATGTGTAAGGGTGAATTCCCTCATTTTAAAACAAAATTTGAACAAACAGACGAGACACTATACAACAATTCTTTGTTCTATAAGCAGAAATCAATCAATTCTTATCTCATACAACCAAACTCACCAGAACATAGTTAGCTACACAAGAATTTGCCAAGCAACTCATCCACCGCCACTATTTTTCGAGTCCAGACCCTCTATCGTTGTTCCCTGCAATAATCCCTGCCGTGGGCCAAAACGACAGTTTGAAACTTTTTTTTTTTTTTTTTTTGGCATTTTGACTTTCCTCCCCTTTTCTTTTCACTAAACTCTCAAACCAGAGAGATGAAGAGGGAAGATGACGACATGACGACTAAATGAATGAATTTTAAGCAGAAATTGCATAAATAGTTGTACCAATTTTCTGGATAAACCTCTCTTTTCATAGCTACTTCAAAATTAAAAGCACTAGATTCACTTTTCTTACTTTATACATATACCTATACCCGTATGTCCGAGCACGAAGTAATCTTCTCGTATAATCATGTTGATCAAGTTTGCACTCCTTTAAATGTCGTCACTTTGTTACCTGAAAACACAAACGTGAGCTAGCCGATGGGTGTGTGTCGGAAACCTCTCCGATACCTAAGTCAGCAAATAGACAATAGACACAAAAGTTCTGTGTATTTGAGAATAAGAATCGTGATACCTGTCCATAAGTTCTGTCATAAGCTTTTATAGATTCAACGTGGCACAGTCCTAACAAGACTCTAACTCTCCTTAGCAGAATCCTCCCAGGAGTCTCATACTTAAGGATAATGCTTATCCTTAGAACACCCTCCTCACTGCAAGCCCAGTGAGATGGCACAAGTCTTTGCTCAACTTTTTGTCGTCTAACCAAACTACCTCTACTCTGTCCGCCAATGGCTTAACCATGCAACACGCAGCACCGTGAAAGCTAACATTGCATGGCTGTCCTCATAGCTCGGCACTCCTCATAGCTCGGTTCTCCTCTCTATTTGACTACCTTGCTAGCTAGCATAGCCTTAGCTTTGACCACCACTAGGAAGTAGCCATGTCCCGTGGCTCGGTCTCTTAGCTAGGCCCCATAGCTTGGTCCTGTAGCTAGGCCTCGTAGGTAGGTCTCGTAGCTAAGTCTCGTAGCTAAACCCCGTAGCTAGGTCCCGTAGCTAAATCCCATAACTAGGTCCCGTAGTTAGGTCCCAAAGCAAGGTCCCGTAGCTAGGTCCTGTAGCTAGGTCCCATAGCTAGGTCCTGTAGCTAGATCCCATAGCTAGGTCCCGCAGCTAGGTCCTGTAGCTAAATCTCATAGCTAGGTCCCGTAGCTAGGTCTCATAGCTAAATCCCATAGCTAGGTCTCGTAGCTAAATTCCATAGCTAAATCTTGTAGCTAGGTCTCATAGCTAAATCCCATAGCTAGGTCCAAATATATGGGCATTTACTAGTTCGGTCAAATATCTTTAACCGCCACTCCAACCTAGCTCGGCCCAATTTGGCTACACAAATTACCCTCTCAATTGCCCCTTAATTCCATCTGTAGTGCATGATTGGGATTATTCTGTCCAGCCGAGCTACTTTGCTCCATCTAACTGGGCTCACCAAAATTGCTCAATCATAGATTTCTTATAGCTAGACAATCTTGCCAATCCTACTTTGTCGAGCTAACCAGCTCGGCAAAGATTTCAAAAAGTTGGTCAGACTTGCCAACTTTCTTTGGCCGAGATAACCATCTCAGTCAAGGAGTGCTAAAAGTTGGTCACACATGCCATCTTTCTTCGGTCGAGATAACCACCTCGGTCAAAGAGCACAAAATATTGGTCACACCTGCCAACATTCTTCAGTTGAGATAGTCACCTTGATTTAGGAGTTTAAAAAAAAAATATTGGTCAAACCTACCAACCTTGCATTGACCGAGACAACTGTCATCTCAGTCAAATAGTGCAAAAAGTTGTTGGCCGAACCTGCCAACTTTCTTATCTCGGCTAAAAATTCAAAAAATGTATTGATCAAACCTGCCAACCTTCTTTACCCTATATCCTCATCTCGGCTAAAGATTGTAACAATGTGTTGGCCAATCCTGCCAACCTTCTTCAGCCTAGATACTTATCTCGGCTGAAGAATGAAAAAATGTTGGTCAAACCTGTCAACCATCCTGAGCTTAGATTCTTATCTCGACTAGAGGAAAAAATTGTTCGTCAAACCTGCTAACCTTCATGAGCGTAGATCTTTATCTCGGCTAGAGGAAAAAAGTGTTGGTTAAACCTGCCAACCTTCCTCAGCCTAGATCCTTATCTCGGCTAAAAGAAAAAAGTGTTGGTCAAACCTTCCAACCTTCTTGAGCCTAGATCCTTATCTCGGCTAAAGAATAAAAAAAGAGTTAGTCAAACTTGCTAACCTTCTTGAGCCTAGATCCCTATCTCAGCTAAAGAATGAAGTGTTGGTCAAACATGCCAACCTTCTTGAGTCTAGATCCTTATCGCCTAGATCCTTATCTCGGTTGAAGAATGAAGTGTTGGTCAAACCTGCCAACCTTCTTGAACGTAGATCCTTATCTCGGCTAAAGAATGAAAACAGTGTTGGTCAAACTTGCTAACCTTCTAGATCCTTATCTCGGCTAAAGAATGAAAAAAATGTTGGTCAAACCTGCCAACCTTCTTAAGTCTAGATCCTTATCTCGGCTGAAGAATGAAAAAAGTATTGGTCAAACCTGCCAACCTTCTTCATCCTAGATCCTTATCTCGGCTGAAGAATGAAAAAAGTATTGGTAAAATCTACCAACCTTTTTTAGACTAGATCCTTATCTCGGCTAAAGAGTGCAAAAAGTTTTGTTGGTCAAACTTACCAACCTTTTTTAGCCTAGATTCTTATCTCGGCTAAAGAGTGCAAAAAGCTTTGTTGGTCAAATCTGCCAACCTTCTTTGCCCCCAGTCGTGCAAAGGTTTGTTAGAAAAGAGTCGGTCAAACCTGCCATCCCATTTTGCTCCCAGTTGGGCAAGACTTTTGCGTAGTCTGTCCTCCTTGTCGACCGTGTTAACTCTCGCTGAAGGCTTTTTGTCCAGTATTGATGTTGTACCAGACTCTGCCTTGGTGCGCATCCTATCTTCCTCTACCCAGATATGTCGGTGCACTCTCTCCATCATGGCTTCCATAGTAAGGGGCGACGTCATTGTCATTGAATCCCTCAACTTATGACCCACTAGCAGACCCCGCTTATACTGTGCAATAACTAGGTTTACGGGACAATCTCCAATCTAATCAAAAGTCTCCCAATACTGGTTATTGTAAGACCTCAATGTTTCCTTCTCGCCCATGTCTATGGAGAGAAGCTGGTCAATCTCCACTGGCGTCTTGATGTTCGTTCTGAATCTGGTCACAAATGTCTCCGCTAGTTGTGCCCATGAAGTTATACTACCTTCTGGCAATCTTTCAAATCATGTTAAACCCAGGTCACCAAGGCTAGAAGGAAACATGATACATATTAGAGTCTCGTTTCGCCGATACACAGCCATAACCTGGCGAAAGTGGCGAAAGTGCATGTAGGGGTCAGACTTCCCCTCATAAGTAGTGAATTTAGGCTGGTGGAAACTTGAGGGTAATGGTGCGTTCTCTATCGCCGGAACAAACGGCGAGCTCTGCAACCTTGCTAATGCTTTTTTTACTGGTTCATAGGCAATGCGCGACCTTGGCATTCCAACCTCGACACTCCCATGTGTTCTAGGAGCCAACCGTTGCAGTGCAGAGACTCTGCGGTGGTCGCGAGCCTAAGTGTCTTCTCTCCTTCGAGCCTTTTCCTCAAGCATTGTCCACAGGTCCACCGACCTAGGCAACTCCGTGTGCCTAGATGTCTTTTGGTGCGAATGCGAGGGCCGATAACTGCTTCTCTTCATGTAAGACCCTTCAGTCCTCGTTCTCTCAGACCTGGAGTAACGAGTCTTAGAAGTCCTTAATTATGTCTCACCTGACCTAAGGCTTCTACTTTCAGCTTGTAACGATGTGACTTGCCTATCACGATCTTCTGAGTGGTAAGAGTGTGTGTTGCCTTTGCGCCCTTCTTCTGTTGCCACCCTTTGCCTTTTATCTGGTGTTTCATCGCCTCCATGTCTGCTGTCATCCTTCATATCAATTCGTCTTACTCCATAACGCAATCCTTCAAAACCTGAGGATTCATCATCCGCTTTTGCCTGTCAGGGCTCCGAGAGCGATGAGGACTTGAGCCTCGTCTTTCTCGTGTGTCTCTCCATAGGTTCCATCACTGGGGATCTAATTTTGCCATAGGCGAGATAAAAGGTAAACCTCCGCGCCTCCCGCCCCCTTCCAGGGTTTGCCCATTAATAGCAGAATGTGGTAAGTCTTCATTGTGCACCATAGATTTCAACTAAAGAGGAAACTTAATCAAAAGGTTTGTTATTTTTCTATCTTCCCACAAATGGCACCAATTGTCCGAGCACGAAATAATCTTCTCGTATAATCCTGTTGATCAAGTTTGCACTCCTTCAAACGTCGTCGCTTTATTACCTGAAAACACAAACGTGAGCTAGCTGGCGGGTATGTGCCGGAAACCTCTCCGATGCCTAAGTCAGCAAATAGACAATAGACAGAAAAGCTCTATGTATTTGAGAATAAGAATTGTGATACCTGTCCACAAGTTCTATCATGAGCTTTTATAGATTCAACGTGGCACTGTCCTAACAGGATTCTAACTCTCCTTAGCAAAGTTCTCCCAAGAGTCTCATACCTAAGGATAATGCTTATCCTTAGAACATCCTCCTCACTGCAAGCCAAGTGAGATGGCACAAGTCTTTACTCGACTTTTTGCCGTCCAACCAAACTACCTCTACTCTGTCCACCAATGGCTTAACTATACAACACGCAGCACCGTGAAAGCTAACATTGCATGGCTCTCCTCATAGCTCGGCACCCCTCATAGCTCGGTTCTCCTCTCTGTTTGACTACCTTTCTAGGTAGCACGACCTTAGTGTTGACCACTACTAGGAAGTAGCCATGTCCCATGGCTCAGTCTCTTAGCTAGGCCCCATAGCTCGGTCCCATAGCTAGGTCTCATAGCTAGGTCTCGTAGCTAAGTCTCGTAGCTAGGTCCCATAGCTAAATCCCATAGCTAGGTCCCATAGCAAGGTCTCGTAACTAGGTCCTATAGCTAGGTCCTGTAGCCAGGTCCCGTAGCTAGGTCCCATAGCTAAATCCCATAGTTAGGTCCCATAGCTAGGTCCCGTAGCTAAACCCCGTAGCTAGGTCCCGCAACTAGGTCCCATAGTTAAATCCCATAGCTAGGTCCCGTATCTAGGTCTCATAGCTAATTCCCATAGCTAGGTCTCGTAGCTAAATCCCATAGCTAGGTCTCGTAGCTAAATCCCGTAGCTAGGTCTCATAGCTAGGTCCCATAGCTAAATCCCATAGCTAGGTCCCGTTGCTATGTCCAAATATATGGGCATTTACTAGTTCTGTCAAACATCTTTGACCACCACTCCAATCTAGCTCAGCCCAATTTGGATACACAAATTACCCTCTCAATACAAACCCATTCACTCATCATTTTTCATCTCACACCATTCCTTTGAACCAAAAGAAAGAAAGAAAGAATAAATAAATAAATATCGAAAATCTCTGTATTGTTCTGCTTAACAATTATTGATGTTTGGGTTTTTGCAAATTGTTCAAAATCAAAGCTAGATGTTGGGATTTATGAGCTAAAGAGGGGGGATTTCTCTCTCAAGCTCACCAACTAGGGTGCTACCATTGTCTCCCTTGTTCTTTCTGATAAATATGGTATGTCCCATTTGTGAAATCAGTTGTTTATACTTGTATAATTTCTATATTTTCTCAATGATTATTTTCTTTTCTTTTCTTTGTGGTGTTTATACTTGGCGGATGTTGTTCTTGGGTATGATTCAATAAAGGACCATATGGTGAGATTTCTCTTCTTTTTAGTTTTAGAGAGAGAGAGAAAGAGAGAGAGAGAGAGAGAGAGAGAGAGAGAGATTGCTCTCCTCTCTGGTTTCTACTTACTTCCTAGAAAAAATTAGAATTCGACATTGGTCTGTGGAGAAAGATTGCTCTTTTCCGTTTGATTTCTATATTTTTCCTTTCCAACAGAAAATGATTGACAATTCTCCTTCCCTTCCTCTCTGAAACACACACACAGAGACACAGAAAGAACCATTGTTGTTTTGCTATAAAGGTCTATTTGGATTTGTTGTTGACAAATCAATTTGATTCAATAAGTAAAAAACCAAAATGGGTTTTGAATTTCCATCGATTTTGCTGCTCGAGATAGCTAGCAATCTACAATACTAGGTGAGAATAAATATTGCAAGACCTCGCTGCTGCCTCAGTCATAGCCGATTCACCGTGCTTGCGCCTGCTACTCCGTTTCACTTCTGCTTCTCTCAATGGGTTAGGGTTCAAGCAAATGAAAAAAAAAGAAGAAAACCGACATTGTTTTGAACAATGGCAGGAAACGCCGCAGGAAGGCACGGTAGAGGATCTGGACTCTGATTTTTCTGCCACCAAAACCAAAAAAGCATTTTCCTCCCACCCGTTGACCTACCCAATGACCCTCTCAATGCTACTTCCCAATCCCAAATCTTTCTCACCATTGCTCTCTTTCTCCCTTCCCTCAAAAACACTTTATCTTCACTAACCACCACTACCCGTTTGGTTTCTCTTGTCATTGATACATTCGGCATTGCTGCCATCGACATAGCCAAGGAATTTGGCATCTCACCTTATTTGTTCTTCCCTTCCCCGGCCATGGCTTTGCTATTTTGCCTCAATTTACAAAAACTCGATGAGACGGTTACAGTTGAGTACAGAGACTTACCTGAACCGGTACAACTCCTTGGTTGTGTACCGATTCAGGGTAAAGATCTCCCTGAACCGGTTCAAGACCGATCAGCCAACGCATACAAGAAGCTGATTAACAATGTAAAGCAGTTTCGTTCAGTCGAGGGCATAATTGTGAATAGCTTCGTAGACATGAAAGATGAAGCTATAAAAGCTTTGCAGGCTGAAGAACCAGACAAGCCACCGGTTTATCCAATTGGACCGCTCATCCAAGTTGATTCGAGTGATGGGTTGGACTAGTCTAAGTGTTTGTAATGGTTAGATGGTCAACCAAGTAATTCAGATTTGTTTGTATCATTTGGAAGAGGTAGGACTCTCTCTCATGACCAACTGAATGAGCTAGCATTGGGTTTGGAACTGAGTGGCCAAAGATTTTTGTGGGTTGTGAGAAGCCCTAGTGACAAGTCTGCTAGTGCTGCTTTTTTCAATGCACAAAGCCAAAAGAAAAATGGTTGGGAGCACTAATTAGTGCTCCCGCTAATTAGGTGGCAGTGGGTCCCGCCATTAATGATATGATGTTTTGGTCTTGGAGTTGTGTTTTTTTTTTTTTTTTTTTACTTTTTTAATACATTAGTGCTATTAGTGGTGATGTTTTTAATGGGATGAATCATTGTTGAAGCCAAAATGATCCTTTGAGTTTCTTGCCAAAAGGGTTCTTTGAGGGGAGACAAGGTCGAGGCCTGGCGGTGCTGTCATGGGCACCGCAGATTGACGTGTTAAGCCACTGTGCCACAAGTGGATTTTTGACTCACTGCAGGTGGAACTTGACACTAAAGAGTACCGTGCATGGTGTACCTCTAATTGCTTGGCCATTCTACGAGGAGCAAAAGATGAATGCGGTGATGCTAACAAGGGTCTAAAAGTGGTGAATCATGTTTTATTTTTTTATTTTTTTATTGTATTAGTTTGATTTGGTTTGGTTTGATTTTTTTTTTAAAAAAGGTAGTTATATGTAGGGGTGTACTAAAAAATTAGACATCTCGCATTAACTTGGCCAGTGTCGTTTAATAAGGTGAGTGAGTTGGGTTAGACTGGTTTGGTGATAAAATTGATTGATTAGTTAAATAAATAAAATTGATCGATTAGTTAACTGATCAATCAATTTTATCACCAAACTAGTCTAATCTAACTCACTCACCTTATCAAACGACACAGACTGAGTTGGTACGAGATGTCTATTTTTTTAGCATACCCATACACATAATCACCCTTGTAACAAAAAAAAGAAAAAAAAAAAAAAAAAAAATCAAACCAACACAGCCCAAAAATAAATAAATAAATAAAAATTCGAGGCATTTCAAGGCCTCAGCATCACACTAAAATTTATATATATATATATATACTAGTTTTGAGCTGATCGTGCATTGCACAATCACGATACCAGTGGTAAATTTGTAGGTATAATATGATATATATAATTGAGTATTAGTATGATATTATAAATATTAAGAAAAAGTTGTTCCCCTAGCTGTTATGTAGTAAGTTTGGAAGGCTAAGAATGAGTGCCTTTTTCACGAAAAGAATGTTGATGGGCTGAATTAGCTGAGCTGGTGAAAATAAAGGTAGCAATATGGAGTAAGCAAAGTTCTACATGTTTGCAATATTCAGTGGAGGACATTGTCAATAATCTTGATAGGATCATAGCTTGATTGAAGTGGTGGTGGATCGCATTCTGCTGGTTTCGGTTCTTGTTTCAATTCAATTCAATGCTGATAAGGTGGAGGTGTTGCTGGCTATGCTGTTTAGTTAGATTGCTGCTGCTTTTTGCCATTTGGTTCTGTTTTTTTATATTTTTATTTTGCACTTTGCTGCTGTTTGTGATCTATTATGGGTTGAAGTGTGGGCTTTGCCACGGTTGTTTGCTAGGTGGAGATTATAGGTTGATAGGGGTGATTTGTCATTGGTTTGATTCTATAGGTTGCTAGTTTTGAGGTTGTTTTTGTGTTTTCCTGTACATTTGCTCTGTATGTTAGTTATTCACCAACTTGGAGCTTAGAGATAATGCTAGCAGATGATTTGATGTGCATTTTGGTACCAACCTGGTTGGGATCTTGGTGTGTCACTGTGATATTTTTTGCACCCTCCTCTTTATTGATGTACTTTTCCATACCTTGTATGTTTTTCCAGTAATAAAGCTTATTTTTGCTGATCAAAAAAAATAAATAAATATTAAGAAAAAAAAAAGGTATAACATTAACAAAGGAATAGTCTATGAAAGATCATCATGTAATTAAACATGTAACTCAACAGATGAGAAGATGAAAATATAATTAAATTGAAGTTGTGTTTTGAAAGATAAGTTTTTAAATGAGTTTTGACAAGAACAAACATATTTGGTTATGAGTTTTGAAAACAATTTTGAGTTTTGAGCTGTATTTTGAAATTGTTTTGAGTTTATTTTTTAAAATATTTAAATATTTTCTTAAATTTATTTTTTAGGGTAAATATTTTTTTATTGTTAATATTGTTTTTGATTTTTTTAACGTGTTTTGTATTTACTATGTTTGTGCACTGTATTTTTTTAAAATATTTAAAAATTTAAAAAAAAAAATTATTTTAAATATATAATTTTTATTTTACATATTTTCTTATTTTTGTAATTTTAAATATTTGCGTTTAAATTTTTTTTTAACTTGGATGAATGATTGTAACTCACATTATTGTAGGGAATTTATTTTGATTTCAAGAAAGCAAACTCTCTATACATGTGATTCATTGTTACCCAAATCAGATTGTAATTTGTTCAAATCTCAAGCTGTTTTATTTTGATCAGTTTGGTGACATGGTCTCAATAATCAAGGATGGAAAAATAGTGATACACATGGCAAGAGATCAGGATTCTGCATTCTTCGAAACTGTGATTTTCATTATAATGCTTCTTTCCTTTTCTTTTTTTTTTTCCTTTTTTTTGTGTGTGTGTGTGTTGTTTGTTTGAGTGAAACATATTTTTAAAAAATAATTTTTATTTTTTAATATTTGGTACAACGAAAAATTAGTTTATTTAAATAGAAAATATTTTATTTTTAAATGACAAACGATAATTTTCATACCATCGTCATCTCACCTCTGTTGCCACTAGCACAAACTCCATCCCACTCCCACCACCTCCGCCTTTCTACCACCATCATTGATACAATTATATTAATTTTAAAAGAAAATTACAAATATATTTTTTTAAAATTTATTTAAAATACAAATTATTCTTGTAATTTTAAAAATTACATTATGTCTCCTAAGGTTTCTAATTTCATAACAAATATTTCATTTTCTTAATAAATCATCAAGTTAATTAATAGTTTTTAATAATGTTAAAATTTTATTTCAATTAATAATTCAGATAATTTTATTATTGTAAA